GTCTACAATTGTTACAGTTATTCGAATACTAAAAAATCAGCAAGTTTTGCAATATTTCGTGTATGCTACAAATTATTTGAATCTAAAAAGGCAAGGGCATGCAGTAACTAAACATCTTTTTCAGCAAATGGGAAACGCTTGTTGATTTCTGTAGCAAGAGTTATATAAAATTACCTGTATTTTCCACGGAAGGAATCGATAGGGGATCTGTTACAAGAAGATTTAATTCTACAGTTACTTTATACCAATATATTCATCTTGCAAAGGCTCCCAATTAAATTGATAATATTTTGTCATTTTATCAAATTCTGCAAACTCCGCATCGTTTTTTTCGACATAATCTTCTTTTAAATAGCAAGAAGTAACTTTTTTGAACATGTTTCCATTCGGCTTTAATATATACATAGCATAAAACATAAGGAAACTTACTGCTTCTTAAGTATTGATTGATTTTCAAAATTATTCGATCTAACTCTTTTCAATTTTGCACGTTGCGAATTTCTGTTGATCAAACATCGAATTCAGCATTACCGTATATGCAGAACCATTGATAGAGTGCAAGAAGTTTTCTTAAGCGACCGAGCAAATAATGTATTTTTTTCTATCTTCGCTTTTTGAAACGAGAAACCGAAATGATTTTTATATTATATTACTAAAGAGAATAGATATTTTGCCAAGAAATGCTCAAAATCCGGTTATAAGTCCGCAAGATCTTATGCAAGCTAGAAAAATCTGGCAAATTCGGAAAATCCGCAGATCTGGCAGCACAATTTGTGCCCAAAGTGTGGAGTGAAGTTGAAAGACTTACTACTTTTTCAACACTGGTATATACAAAGTTTTTGTTTTAAATATATTTTTGGTTTATTATATATGTGGTGTTCGAGGCAACAGATGTAAATGGAATACTAATTATTTAGTTAAATAATAATAAATGTGGCAACATCAATTTATCTATGTTAAAGTGAATACGTATCTGCATCGATACAATAGTTATCTTTGTTTAACCACTGCTAAGAAAACGGTTTTTAATCAAGTGTATCATTAGTGTAGTACGTACTTGGTGGAAGTATTGAATGTCGTGTAGCAATAATTTTTATATTAGTAGCAACACAATAAAAAGCAAATAAGACATAATTTGTATTTATAACGAAAATTTTAATACATGAAAAGTACAATTTTGTGGAAAATTATGTGAATTCATAATGAATCGTTCGAAAAGGTAGTGAAAACAATTTAGTGATGTTGATTCTTTACAAAAAAGCAAGCAACAAAAGCAATATAAAAAAGAACTAAGTGCTAAAAGTGTAGTTAACGCGCATGTAGAAGCAGAGGCTAGTGAGCACTTTTCTGTGTTTCATGCCTAAAAGAGATGGAATATTTATATTCTCACTCTTTTCGATCTATAAGACTGCCACTGCATTTGAGTTTTACATGAGTTAGTTGCACCGCCTCCATTTCGGTTTTTGAGTGGACTGAAATACTTTGAGTTTGTTGGTTGCACGCTTTGACTTTCTATCCTTTTATTGCAAACGGATCGTTACATTGTCATGAGGGTATACAATTACGCATAGGGGTAGTCAAATGAGTGAGTCTACACAACCCCAGTGAATTCATATTTAGCACTAAAAAATACAGCGTTCATTTCCCTTCGGCAGCGAAGTATCTGATGTCGGCGCAGAAGTCGACTGAGGTTGTGTTTTTATTATAACATTTAATGCTGCCACCTAATGCAAAAATAATAAACACTTCGGAGTTGTTTGTAGTGCGAGTGATTAGAAAGTAGTGATGCTTTAGGTAAAGTTGTGGGAGCGAGAATGTAGCAGTTGGTAGTTCAGTATCAGTTGCGTTTTCATGTATGTTTTGTAGGTGGCAACGCTTATAGTTAATTGTTTTTTATTTGCAATGTATGAGATAAAGATTGTAGAGGAGGTATAGTGACGAGGGCAGCGCAGTTCTGTATGCCAAACAGATGACATTCGAGTAATAGCGAACAAAAAAATTAAAACATTAACTGTGAAAAAATAAATATTTAAACAGTGGAAATTATAAGGGATACGATATAACATCTTTGGAGAGTGTGACAGTGTGAATTTACATTTCTAAATATATAGCTTGAGATCCCAAGCAAAAGTGATATATTTATTGCAATAAAGAATAATAGAAGAAAACTTAGCACTATTTTGTTGCAAGTATTTAAGAAAACGAGGAACCAAATTATGTAAAACAAAAATTATTGCAAAGTGTATTTACAAGTGCTTATTTTCTTTAGTACATATGTGTGTATACACCCAATCTGTATTTTTAAAAACGCTTAGTGTTTGATTAGTGTATTGTTTATATTGGAGATTGGTACCTACTTCCGTCGCTCACGTAAACATAAAAACAATACCGTATGGAGTAATGAAATAAGTATTTTTTACAAATTGTTGTGAGAAGAAGAAGCCTTAGAATATGTCGTTAACAATTACAACATATGTGGATTATTTGTTTGGTCACCTATAAGATTGTTGAATTGGTAGTGTGTAAGTTAATTTATACTTACATCATAAATATTTCCCCATCATAATTTGAATGTTCTCTAGTGAATATATCTAAATGTCGAAAGTTGTATATGATATATGATATGCTAAAATTCAGTTGGTCAAAAAACACATGTATGTCCAAAAAACCTTATGAATGAAAAAACGTATTTATACGGCCACACGCTCCCATATTGATTTCTGTGATACGTACATATGAATTGCATGCATTGCAAACAATCTGACACAATATATTGTGAACATTCATTCGAATGTACGGTTTATAATATATGTATGAAAAATATGATTAGGCATTATATCAACGGTGAATTTTAATTTGTTTAAACAAAATGCAATTACACTTGTTTATGCCTAATAACTCCATACAGTTATGACAAACTAACAGGCTCACTTTTTGGAAGTGTAAATTTAGTCCATACTTTGGGATCCATGGACGGGACTTGTGTGAAATCCATTAAATATTGCGAAACGAAAGAAAGAAGCCGTTCCCACGACAGTCGGGACTACGTAACCGACAGAATTCTGCAGCTACAACAACAAACGAAAGAAAGAATCGGCATAAGATCGCTGAAAGAATTCGATGTTGCCAAAACTTCCTTATTGTCTATAAACCCGCATTCCAACGACTGAAATATATGATGACCTTATAAGAACAACATCAACGCCTGAGTAAAGTATCTGTATTAACAGCATCTGAACTAAATTTGCAATTGTTCTCGGTTAAGCGCCGATTAGTTGAAAAATGTTATATGGAGTTAAATAAAAAAGTTTTCCACGACAGAACTTGATTTTGACAGGTCAGTTTGTTTAATAGCTATATGCTATAGTAGTCCGACATTGACGGTTCCGACAAATGAGCAGCTTCTTGGAGAGAAAAGGACGTTTGCAAGAACGATATGTTAAAAACTGGGGACTAGTTTGCGTATATACAGACTGACAAATAGATGACAGACGGTCGTCACTAAACCGACTCGGCTCGTTACGCTGATCATTTATACACATACATACTTATGTATGTACATATGTATATACTCTATAAGTTCTCCGAAGTTTTCTTTCGGGTGTTACATTAGGATTCTACAAGTATGCCCAATTCCAGCATCGACATAATTGCTAATAAAAGATATTCTACCAAATATTATTTTACAAATTTTTATTTTCATAATTTCTTAATCCTAATGGGGTTAAATATTTTTATTTTTATTAGTTATTTTATTTTATTTTTTATTTCAATATCACATTTGCAATAAAGAGTGAGATGATGTATAGTATTTGAATTAGTTCCTTTCGGTTGTTGATTTTTTTGATTGTCCTTTATCTGAAATCTCAATGACTGACAAAATTGTTTTGTCCATAACTGTATATACGTAGTATACGAAAATTCATCCTGGTACTGGAGATTATCAAAATATTTAATATAAATCTTTCTATATAAACTTTAATAAATGTACATATATACATATCACAGATGAGATGTAAATATATCACTACGGGGATTCTCTTGCTCATGCAAAACTCCACGATTGCACGAAATGCAAAAATTCTATACCAAAAGATGCAGGAGCACGAGAACGCCCAATTGTAAAAAAAAAATCAGAGATAAAGATTCCCAACTCTCCTGTCATTGAAAATAAGAGGGCCACTCACCTACCCGACTTTGACAGCTGACCGGATCGAGTAAGTTTTGACGTTTCGCAATTGGAATGTCCTCATTGAAATTCGACCAAAAATGTATGTATGTGAACGGATGGAGTTAAACATAGAAAATTAAAGAAAACACGAAATTTACATCTATTTGTTGAAATGTTTTGTGATGTGATGCATTATAGTATTTATTTTCAATTAAAAAATACTAAAAACATCTATTAATATAGAGCTAACAAGTTTAATTCACTTTATTAAGTATTGAAAGTTCAAAAGTCAGTTTTTAATGAACCATAAAATCATAAAAACGGATTTAAACAGTTTCATCAGTTAAAATGAGCAAACATTATTATTTTGGTCGATCTGGCTGCAATGGAAAATGTTATAAAAAATGCTTAGTCTGAGGCGATCCCGCACTGGAATAGCAAAAGAATTCCCTACTGTATTAAATATTTTGTCATGTTTGGGAATTTTTTGATATGCATGCTGACAACAATGGAGGTACCTAATTAGTACCTGGGTTTATACCTAACAATATTCTCTTCTCTTCAGCATATTTTATAGCTTTTAATACGTTGAACAAAAAATTATGCTTGAAAGTGTTTTTAGCGAAATTTTAAGATCAGTTTATAAGATGCTGTTATTTAGCGGTTGTTTTAACTTCAAAGCTAAGTATGTATGTAAACATTTTTTTTAAGAGTTAGCCAGCCTCATGGAATCTTATTACCGTGAGAGGCATATGTATATAGTTCAGTTTAAACATAAACAATATTGAAAGTATTGACAAAAATTATATATGGTAGTAATTTGAAAATATATACATATATTTGAGTATATAAAAAAATATGTTATATATTATGTTGATATTTTGATACAAAACTACTGGGAAAATTTTCAGATTCACAATTTTTAAAAGGGCCTCGACGGACTGCAGTCCTTCTCGAAACTCGTGATAACTGATGCAAAATAAGAATAATCCTATGTGCGCAAAATGGCGGACGTGTAAAAAAACGATTAAATTCTACAACTTGCGCTACTTATTACGTATATAAGAGATAAGGGTAGTATTGACCATTATCTCTTTTTGGCTTTACTACAAATTGTTAACAGAAATAAGTAAAGCAGGGCTAAATTCTAAGTTCGGGTGTAACCGAACATTTTATACTCTTGCAACTAGCAAGGATCAAAGCCGGCTAAATAGTTTCAGGTGTTGACAATATTAAAAAAATTAGCGAAAGGGTTCAACTTCATTGTTTGAAGAAATCGTGAATGAATTACATTTATATTTGGAGTCATATTAACTTATTTTGATTTTCACATTTGACTCACTCAGTTTTATTGTTATATTTTACTTACCATCAGCGAAAATTGTGCTTGAATTATCCTCCAATGAAATATATGTAATATAAACTCAACTGAAGGGTTGATGTGAAAAACGTCAACCAAAGAATCGAAATTCATTATATTAGTGAGATGAGGTTTCGAGCAAGGGCAATTTCATTTATGTTATATAAACCATTATTATAATTTTATAACTTCTAAGAAAATGTGCTCACTTAATTTCATTAAAATATCACACATTTCGACCAACCTAAACTGTTTACAGTCAGGTTACAGGAAATATTGGAAGTGCTGATTGCATTAATTTTTGATATTGTTCAGGTATACCTGAGAACTTATTTTTAAGCAATTTTATAAATTTAAACATAGAAATATATATGGAGTAAAGTCAGCCGTGTTTCAAAATCGTGAATATCAGTTATATGTGGGCTAAGGCAAGTTTTCGCCCGATTTTATCCATTTTAGGCACAAAGATACATTGTGTTTAGACTATAGTTAAAATAACTAGGACGATATACATATGTGGTAGTCAACTGGAAGTGCGAAAATCTTTATATTAGGTATATGGGGACTAAGGGAAGTATTGATCCGATTCAACCCATTTTGGAAACAAAGGTATAATATTATCAAAAAAATATTTTCCCCGAATTTCAATAACATCTTTCACAGATTGAACGACATTTTCGGCAAAAACTCACCACACTCATTAAGGTCCACATATTCGGTATGGGGGGGGGGCTTGAACAGTTATGGCCTAATTTTGACAATTTTAAGACTCGAGATGCCTCAAAGTTACTATTTGTGCAAAATTTTATTCGAATATATTCATTGGTGCTTGATTTGCGTACTGCAAAGTGAACGAATCCTGGAATTTAAAATTGTGCTATATGAGAAGTAGGCGTGAGTAGGTCCGGAGATATGTGACTTTACCTAAATGTGGGTGGTATCACACCCATCGTTCAATTTTGACCCCGGCTCTTACAAAGTCCTCTTGTACCATCCTGGGTGTTAAATTAAATACCTTTAGTGCAATCAATAACTATTGATTTATGGCGTTTAAGTAAGTTTTAACAAAATCGTTAAATGGGGAAAGGGCAGGGTTATAAGTCGATTTTATATATTTTTAGCCCAACTCCATTCATGTTCAGAGCTAAACTAATTTTATAATTAAACTTTTCCACTTAATTTCTTTAAAATATCACACGTTCTGATCAACCTAAACGGTTTAAAGTGGGGTGGAAAGTCGGATGCACTATACAGGGTATATTAGGGTCTGGGCTTGTTGGATTAACCCTTGACCATTGCTGAGGTATACTCAAGAACATATTTTCAAACAATTGTATAAATAAATAGTTCACACACTGATGTCGGACAGTTCGGCATAAGGTTTGTTAGAATAACAAAAATCATTATATAATATATAGTATATGAGAGTGTGGGTAATTCGTGAACCCATTGACATATTTTCGGCATTAAACTATAGTATATCCAGTATGATACGTTCAGGTAATTTTGCCACGATATCTTACATATTAACCGATATATACGGTATAAAGTCACCCGGAAGTCCGAAATTATTTCTATCAGGTGTACGGGGGTGAAGGTAATTATTGATTCGATTTAACCCATTTTTGACATACAGGCATACTATTATCAGAAAAGGATTCTCTCCGAATTTTTATAATATATCTCACAAATAACAACCGATAAGTTCGCAATAGGAACTGTGGTCCATATATTCGCTATCTGAGGACTTGAATAGTTTTGGACAATTTTTGGTCATAAGGTGGCGCAGAAACTATTCGCCCAAAGTTTTATAAGGATCCATTCATTGATTTTTGATTTATATACTGGAAAGATGAAATTTAAAATTGTGTTATATGGAAAGTATGCGTGGTTTTTGTAATGTAAGAATATCAGGATAATAGTACCTACCGAATTTGGTTGAAATCGGTCGAGTAGGTCCGGAGATATGGCGGTGCAAAGCCCTCTTGTACCATCTCGGATGTAAAATTGTATGTCTCTGACGCATTCATTTATATAAATATTTATCGCATTTTTGGTAGTTTTTAACATAACCGATATATGGGAAGTGGACGGGGTTATAATCCGATTTCATTATTGATATGGGGGTTTAACTAAAATCTGAACCGATTTCGTTCATATTTAACTCCCAAACCCTAAGAAGTTCTGGACTGATTTCATTTAATTTTGGTATTATACCAAATTATCCTTGAGCAAATATTTACATTGTCTGATCGGTATAGAGTCAATTAGAATACCGAAAATCTCTTTATTAGGTACATACTTAGTCCTGCCATAAGTACTGTTACAAGTTCAGGCCGTTATAAAAATTAAAATATAATAATTTATTTTAATAAAGTTAACTTTATAATTTAATGCATATATTAAATGAGCGATGTATAAAATTGTATTCGAAATGACTTTACACAGTGATCAATAACAGTACGCACAGTGTCTATTAGTATTGACGACGCTGCACAAAACAAAAATGTTTTGAGACTCTCCAAATATGAGTGGTCATGTTCTCCAGTTCTGATCAAAACCTGTATTTCAATGGATTAAAATATGCAGCTATGAAACCAGGAATATTGCTTTTAAGCCATTAGTGGGTGCTTTTTGCCTTATGCGCTGAGCAGATTCTTGCTGGTAGATCCAGAGCTGGATGTTGGCCAACCCCTGGAATAACATTTTGTAGGCCTTTGAAAAGTTTTGCGTAGATTTTTCCGTTTTGCTAATTAAAAACGTCTTCAACAGTGAAAATATTTTAATTCGTAAAAAGGATAATTTCATGAACGTTGACCGCGTGACACCTAAGAAGTGGCTTGTATCTTTTGAGCCTAATCAGCTTCAAGTAGGTTGCCAGAAGATGACCAGTTGATCGACGGTAGGCTTTCATGTGGAGATTATCTCGAATAAGTCTTGATGTTGTTCTAGTGGATGTATCCACTTCCCTTGACAATTTTCTGTTTTCTGAGGAGATTTGCGAATGCGTTCGCAAACAATGTTTATGGCTGAATTGGTTCGAACCACGCGAGAACGAGCAATTTTCTTTCTGTCATCAATTGTAGACTTTTGGGGAAAACCAATATAGCGGTAAAAAAGCTCATAAATTTCACACAATTATGTACATAAAGCAAACTCCGCCATACGATTTTCTTTAGCTTCCCACTCCATTGTTAATAAGCGAAAGGAAACACTGAATTGATTGACACTGCACACAAATTATAATAAATAAACGGTTTTTTTTTGGTGGGCTTGCCCTCGGTTTATGCTTTGTAAACTTTGTAACAGAATTTATGGCAATACTATATAGATTATATGTATGGAGCACCCACACTAAGTTTCATCCAAATATCTCAATTTTTACTCAAGTTAATGGATAGCACGGACAGATGGGCGAACAGTCAGACATACGGAATTCAATTCGTTTCATCATTCTGACTATTTTGATATACATATATACCTGTCTATGTTATATCTCTAGGTGAACAAAACTATTACACTCCGTGCAACATTTCACGAGAGTATAAAAAGCGTATTATATTATTACAGCGAGATCAGAATAAGGTTTTTGGTTTATAGAAATCATCATGCATAAGAAAGCAATTGCACTGTAAAATGTACTTTTGTTTTTTAGGAAGCATACATAGTTTATTTAAAGTTTTTAATTATATTTGTGAAGGGAATATGTGTGCCCATGTATGTGTGTATATGTATGTATGTACACAGAGTACAAACGCAATGTCTTATCGTAAACGTTAAATTGGAACAACTATGTTTTAAATACATTCATTTGTATGTGTGCGTACATATATCCGCATACGCATGATCCCACATAATTCTGTTGTTGTGTTCTGCTATTAAAGGTACATAACTGTTTTGAAGTTTTGCCGACGCTGCAAATTTTTGAGAACCATGAACAGAAAGAATTCAACACAGGGTAATCTTGAAGCCCTTTATATCAGCTATTAGTAGTCTTTGTATTATTATTGTTTCTGTGTCTGTTCTATGTTCACTAAAAAAACATTTTTCATTAGTTTGTGCAGTAAAAAGCTTTAATGTCACAATACAGCTTTGTCTTGAAATGCAAATACACCGACGAGACTAATAAAAATCTTTGAAAACTAACACTCTTTTTTGTGTTGGAGAGTTCGAAGTGCTACCAAGCCAGCATATTTAAGTTCAATAACTAATTCAAGTTTTCCTGGTTGCTGGCATACACATATCTAAAACCAGGTGATGTATTGCAGCATTATATACTTGTATATACGTACATACAAATATATATATACAGCTATGGACATATAATTAGCACATTTTTTATGGCTACTTTCTGGTGTTACAGTTTTAGTCTTAACTTCATTTCATAGGTTTTCAATTGGATTCAAGTCAGAGCTTTGGGTTGACCAAACCAAAAAATTGATCTTCTCTGCAGAAAATCAATTTTTTACAGCTTCGAGGCGTATTTGTGACTGTTATAGTGCATAAATTTCTATTTAATTTGCATGGAACACGCCTACACCATGCCAAAAAAATACTCCCAAAACCCTAATATTTCCGCCACCATACTTTAGCATCTTCTGACTGAACTTATAATTCTTAGCATTTAGGGCTATGGACACATATTTTGCCATCTGCTCCTATCCTATTAACCTTTGTTTTGTCACTTCGAATACATTTTTCCAAAAATTTAAGCATTTTTTTGATCAGTACTGGCTAAGATCGCCCGAAAAACTTTGCCTGATTAAAACATCTCCTGTAAAAATTATAGGATATTTTTAACCCAATGATTGATTAATATCGGCTGCTACCTGTCGCAACAAAAAATTACGTGTATCTATTTCTGCAAAGTAATCTGTGCCATTTATGGCCAATTCACATAGAACTTTTGCTTCAACATATTGACTGATAGATGTGTTTACTGTAAAGTAATATAGGGTAGAATTTTTAAGCTTGTTATATGGTGAGTAGGCGTGGTTGCCAACCGATTTTGCACAGTGTATGAAAGAAATGATGGGGTTACCTCACACACTCAATTTGTGGGAGGGCACGCCCATTGTCCAATTTTTACGCCGGCTCCCATTAAGCCCTTCCCAGCCATCCTGGCTATGAAATTTAATGTTTCTGGCTCTTTTATTTAGTAAGTTATCGCTCTTTTAATAATTTTCAACACAACCGTTATATGGCGAGTGGGCGTGACAGTGTATAAAGAAGTGCTAAAAATACTTATTTTCAGCAAGTTTGGTTGAGTAGGTTCAGCGGTTTGGAAGATATGTACACGGGCGGAGGTTTTCGTTTAATGGCGTTTTGTGCGCGTGGCAGTGGTACGATTATGCCTATCTGCAATACAAACCCCCTTGGGTGCCGAGGAATACGTGTACCAAGTTTCATCAAGATATCTCAATTTTTACTCAAGTTATCGCTTGCACGGACAGACGGACAGATAGTCACTCGGATTTCAACTCGTATCGTCACCCTGATCATTTATATATACAGTACAGTACAGTACAATACAACTCTGGTTCGGCAGCACCACATTAAATGCAAAATCTTTACATTTTTATCAACTTTCAAAATTTTTAGAATTTTTATGAAATCAAACTTTGTGCCTTTTATGTGTCCATAGCTGTATATATGCTCATAAATATGTGCGTATGCACTGGTATTTATGGGTTGTAGGTATAAACTATAGATTTTATAAAGAGAGAGTGAAAAAGGTCGAGTTCACACGCACACAGACCCATACCTATGTACATCATATACATATGTATCTATGAGCATACATTTGTACACTGGTTCTTCGGTTTGCACGCTTAAGTAGAACATATGAGTGCAAAAAGGGTAAATTTTTCATATAAAAATGCTTATTGGAACCAAATATTGATAAACCCAAGCAATAAAGTGATAAACGATCTTTCTTATGTAGAAATTGAAGATTTATATTAATAAATACAGACATACATATGTACATTGGGGTGGGTCAAAAAATCCAATATTTTTTTTATTCGCTTGGTATTGTGAAAAATAAGATGATAGACATGTGTTGAATTCCAATCATTGGTAAAATTTTTTTTTTTTTAATTTTATGTGATTTTTCTTAAAAGTAGTACAAAATAAATTTAAAAGATGACAAACGAACCCAATTCGAAAGGAAATTTTATTTACAAACTTATTTTTATAATGGATATCAGATTCAGGATTGTGTTAATTCATATTTTAATTATCAGAAATATTTTTGTTAAAGCTTCTATGAGTTTCCTAAGACCGGATTGACTATCTGTGTAATCGTTCATCTCTTGCTTAGACATAGGGCTAATGAATTTTAACTTATGAATGTTAGTTTCCATGCTAGTTCCTGGTGAGTAAAATAACATTGCAGATGTGAGTAACTCTTCCTTAAATCAGAAAAAATCTCTGAAATTGTATTAACCTTCACTTTTCTGTTTTTGCCTCCATATTTGTTAATCCTTTCGTTTCATGCAAGATGCCTGATAAGCGTAATACGAAATAATGAGAGAAAGTCGAATATTTTTGCCTAAAATACTATCTCTAGTTTTTACCGGATATAGTAGCAAATAAATATTCCTTAACTGCTGATGCAATTAACATACCAGATAATATAGATGCATATTTAAATTATTAATATTAAATTAAACATTGCATTAGTTAAAGCATCAAAAATCTATTAAAATTTCTTCAGTGAACTAAGGTACAACACAGTCGGACTTCAATAACCAGAACGCTCAGACTTTTATCTGACAAATAAGAACAATTTCATTTCCTTTTAAAATACTAAGGGATGTATCTTACGTAACCATAAAAATTATTCAATTTATTTTGGGCTTTTAACGTGTTTCAACTTTGGAATTACCATACATGCTGCAGGGATAAAACTGTCCATAGGTTTTAATATTGTTTTTACCTTTTTATGCACTGTGCAGGGTATATTAAGTTTGCCACGAAGTTTGTAACACCCAGAAGGAAACGTCGGAGACCCTATAAAATATATAAATGAACAGTATGGTGAGCTTAGTCGATTTAGTCATGTCTGTCTGTCTTTCTGTATATATACGATCTAGTCCCTTAGGTTTTGAGATATCGATCTGAAATTTTGCACCTGTCTTTTTCACCAAGAAGCTGCTCAATTGTCTTTTTTATTTGAAGAGATATCTTTACGAAATTTGGAATGGATCGTTATCTGAGGCAATAATGCAATTTCAGTTTTTATATTTTCCAGATTAACTCGAACTATTTTTACATTAATATATTTAATACATATGTATGTATATATTTTTTATGAGACTTATAAAACCTATTTTTTATATTTTAAATGCAGCTCAACAACACAACCCAAGCAACTGTAGATTTTAGAGACTTGCCAAGGAAATAGTAGCGTTTACAATAACACTCTGGAATACTTTTACGTGAGCACAGCCAGTGAACTGCCAAACGCAACGTTTACATGTTTTTTACGTAACACTCGTCAATTTGATTGTAACAATAATAACAACAGATATATTAACGATCCGTATGACTCACAGAACCTGAACTGCAGCAATAGTAACGATTCCTTAGTCTATATCAACAATCAGAGTCCACATCAATACCTTAACAATCACCTGCGATATTTGCAACAACAACAGCAACTATATATTCAGCAACAACAACTGCTAATAGAACAACAGTACCTCAGCCAACTTCATAATATACAACATCATCGTCAGCGCTACGATTACTATAATCAGCGCTACCGCCTGTCGTTGCCAGTGTTGCCACGCGTCCAACTGCAACTGCAGCAACAGCTAGTACGACCTGTGCAGCCTGTACAGCATACAACACTAACGCTGTTACCGTCTCAGCAGCAGCACCAACAGCCTTTGACGGCATCATCATCATCAACAGCACTGGTGCACAACGAAGAGGAGAGCGCCGTCGCTGTCGCTGTCGCCAACGTCGTCGCTCCCACTCCCGCGTCCACACCCGTAGCCGTATCTGCCTCCTCTGTCGCCGTCATCGCCGCCTCTGGTGCGTCCTGTACACAGCCGCAGCCGCTTCCGCAGCCGCAGCAACCATTCACCCTGTTACAACACACACAAATGTCAAATAAGCTAAATCCGAAACGCCGCGAAGGTCCGATCACTACCGGTACCGGCACAACATCGGCCGGCAATACATCCTCAGCTGCAAATACATCCTCCTCATCTAGTTCATCATTGTCGTCCGCCGGAGGCGGTGATGGTGGTATGTCTGCCGATCTAACTTCATTGTTTGAGTGTCCGGTGTGCTTCGATTATGTCTTGCCACCTATATTGCAATGTTCTAGTGGGCATTTAGTATGCGTATCGTGCCGCTCGAAACTCACCTGCTGCCCAACATGTCGCGGACCATTGGCAAACATACGCAATTTGGCAATGGAGAAAGTCGCCTCAAATGTGAAATTCCCGTGCAAACACTCGGGTTATGGTTGTACAGCTTCGCTTGTTTACACAGAAAAAACCGAACACGAAGAGACATGCGAATGCCGACCATACCTGTGTCCATGCCCGGGTGCATCGTGTAAGTGGCAAGGCCCATTAGATCTGGTCATGCAACATTTAATGATGTCACACAAAAGCATTACTACGCTACAGGGAGAAGACATTGTCTTTCTCGCCACTGACATCAACCTGCCCGGCGCTGTCGATTGGGTTATGATGCAGTCTTGCTTCGGCCACCACTTTATGTTGGTGCTTGAAAAGCAAGAGAAGTATGATGGACACCAGCAATTCTTCGCAATTGTGCAGTTAATCGGCTCGCGGAAAGAAGCCGAGAATTTCGTCTACCGTTTGGAGTTGAATGGCAACCGTCGACGCCTCACTTGGGAGGCTATGCCGCGATCCATACATGAAGGTGTTGCATCTGCTATTCACAACTCCGATTGTCTGGTATTTGACACATCGATTGCGCAACTGTTTGCGGACAACGGGAATCTTGGCATTAATGTTACCATTTCGATTGTCTAAAAGAATCAACATACACATACACAAAAAGAGAGAGAAGACAAGGACAGGGAATATTTGTAGAAGATAAGAAATAGTAGAAGGGGGAGGGTGCGACTTGGATTTTTCAAATGTGAGGGAGTGCAAAACCCGATAACAAGCTTCTGCGAAATAGGACAAAAATAAGAAGTGTGCGCACATAGTTACATCTATGATAAAAGTGGGTTCAAGCATCTATTCAAATAACCTAGAGATAACAAACAATAAATGCGAAAGGCAGAAATTGGATTTTTTTTACCAAAAAATGTATATATTACAAGCTGGCCGGCAGAGTGGAAAACTTTAAATAAAAAATACACACATTTTTACATTTTAAATTAAAGCCCTGAATTAATTTCTAATAAATGACAATTGCAAGGTTTGACCTTATTTAATGTTCGTGGATCACTGATCATGAAAATCAAAATTTTCACCTAATAATAAAATATACATTGTGTACATATATAAAATGAATTTGGTTTTGCTGGTATCCCATATTTTTTTAAGCACATATATATTTGTAACCTTGTTCCATTTTGCGAAGCTTGCCGAATATTGCAGAAAGCGTTTTTAAAACGATTTCATAAAGTCAAGGCTTCATTTGTTTCCTATTTTTATGTTATTCTTCTAAATCTTAAATATATTTAATGTAATGTAATAACAAAAGAAAACTACTGGTTTAATTTATTATAATACGACACAATGTTGCTTTATCATCCTATAATTTCATGGCAAAACGAATATGTAAGAAGGTACAAACATACACTCAGAATATGAATAAATATGTACCCGAATTTTCATTTACTTTATCCATTCGAAAACTTAATTCATAATTCTTTTTAGTCTAAAGTGACTAGTTTTCTTCCCCTTTAAGAGAAATATGCAAACAGGTTAAAAAAGTTTACATTCAGATTGCTTATAGGCGTAGTATTTAATCAAAAAGCTGGCATATTGATCCGAGCGGAGTTAACTTGAAATATTTATTTCAATTGTTTGAAAGTAATAAAATAATGTAGATATTTTCGGAGATCTTTTTATCTTCGACTACAAATCGTTTTAACGTATACCCGGTGGATCTTAAACATTTCTTAAATATGCAAGTGAGACACAGCAATGATAATCGTTAGAAAAATAATAAATGTGCTGGGATAGTTTAAAAATAGTTCTTTTGCCTCAGAAATTTATAAAATAAGAGTTTCCGTAAAAATCTGAAATATTGTTAAAATTTAATGCAGTTTTAAATAACCTATATTCTTCGATACACTAACTGCTAACTTTAATATTTCTCTACATTATATTAAATGTTAAACTTTTATTAAATTACCAGAGACATAATACATAATACAAATGCAAGTTATTTTTTATAATTGGTCATTGCTGACCTAAATTACATAAATGAATGCATTTGGGCCTGTTTGCACTAATGATCGATAAAAAATAAAACCAAAAAGGACGTAAAGCGAAACAAGACGAAAAACCTTAATTGCGGAATGTGTTAATAGTTTGTAAAATAATTGTAGACACCAACTTTGCAACTGAGGCAAAAATTTAAGAACAGATACGATAATATTAGACAAACTTAAATATAGGTAAGAATATGCCAATTCATATATAGTGAATCTCAGTTTAGAATCATCGTATTAAAAATGTGCATACCAACATACATGTTTATTACATGTCTGCATGTATTTTAATTTGATCTTCGCTGACATCTAAAAAGTAATGTACCTATCTACCATATTTACTATATGGTCAGGGAGAATTTTCCACAAACAAATGGACATATTTAAATGTATGTTCCTATTTTCATACTGGATTTCTGCTTTTTTCCAACTGGGTAACTTTCATCGTAAACACACGTTTTTCCCCCAAATACATAACATCTATATATGTTTGTATGTTTGTATTTTAGCGCTCTGTACAGCAACTGTACAAGCGAATTTATATGAAGATATTTTAAAATTAAAATATACATAACTTAAGCTAAACTTATGTATACTGAAAGATGTAGTTATTCTGTAATAGGTTAGTCGATCTCTAAATTATGATTGATGATAAATACTGAAGACATTAAAAATAACAGTAATAAAATGAAAAGCGTAAAAAATCATAGAAATGTGAAAAATCAACACTAGTTTAATTTCATTTAATTTTTAGTGCTCCTATGTGACTTGTAAATTATCATTATCTAATATCTCATTAAATATACGCATGGACATTTGTAACTGAATATTGTTTTCTTTCCAATTATCACACCTCAATATGTTTTAACACTTTGCCATTGCATGTACTTATTTAAAAAATGGTTAAATAAAGTTGCTAATACCCAATACATATGTATCCCCCACTATATGTTAATATCTTAAACCAACAACTGAAAACGATTGACAGGTATCTTTAAAATTTTCACTGTTTAATTATTTTCGACTTTTTAATTTGTTAATCTCTATTAGTAAATCGAATTAATGTAAAATTAAAGTGCATAAATATAAGGAAACATCAGCTACATAGATAAGACAACAATCACGGACTTTTAAAACACGAAAGTACGAAATGAAGGTCTTGAAAGTTCGACTACAGTGCATGTAAACATACAACATGTGTTTAAACATTAAAGTGATTAGAGAAAATAAAACTTTTAAAATAAATTAAAATTTTTTTTTGATTTTTTATGCAAATACAGTTTGTAAGGTCTTCAACACATCAAAACCTGGATTTACTTCCTTAAAGGGTTGCTATTAACCTAACCAGAGAGTAAACTCTTATTAATTGTTGAGCGCGAATATATCCAGGCTGATCTACATCCTCTTGACGCGAAACTAAATACTCCTTTTTTGTTATGTGGGCCATAAAAACTCTTATCAAAATTTGTCCTCGATCAAGTGTTACAAATGCAATGCTACTCAACAGTCATACAGAGTTTCAACAGGCAACATATTGGGTCTATAACTATACTCTGCGGGTTATTTTCAAAATTTGAACGTTTATTTAAAAAAAACATGTACGATAATATTATTCAAAGTATTGCCTATTTGGCGGAATATTCTAACCCAAAAGAGCTTCCCAGGCTTCGCGGCCAAGAATCAATCAAGCCAATTTTCGACTAAAGTTTTCTTCAAAGTAAATAAGAAAAATTCTAAACAAAAATACTTTTTATTAAGTTTGCTACGAGGTTTGTAACACCCAGAAGGAAACGTCGGAGACTCTATAAAAAATATATATAAATGATTAGTAGAGTGAGCTGAGTCGATTTAGCCATGTCTGTCTGTATATATACGATCTAGTCCCTCAGGTTTTGAGATATCGATCTGAAATTTTGAACCTGTCTTTTTTCGCCAAGAAGCTGCTCATTTGTCGGAACGCCAAAGCTGCAATACAAATTGAACGATCGGGATAAAGTTCTTGTATGGAAAACTTTTTCATTTGAAGATACATACATATGTACATATATCTTTACGAAATTTGGAATGCATCATTATCTGTGGCAATAATTCAATTTCCGATAAAATTGTTTAGATCGGATCATTATACACTCAGCGAAAAAAAAACGCACGCAGTCGAAAATTTTCTAATATTCCATTTTTACTGTTACTATTCGCTCAAAATACACTATTTTTCTGATTTGACTGACTACATTGGTTTACCGTTATTTCTGAAACCGTTAGTTTCTGCACGTGTTTATTTCAGTACTTGCGGTAATTTCTTTTGAGTCAGTTGTCAAAATAAACAAAGTTGAACAAGGTGTTGTCATTAGGGATGAAAACAGAAATCATAGCTTTATATAAAAATAAATTATCCAAATGTCATATAGCTCGTGAAATGGACATAAGTGATTGGATTGTGTGGAATAATATTAAAAATTATACGAATTTGAATTGAATGCCGAAAAATCCATAGAAATTTTGAAAGAAGGCGTTTTGCCAACTATTGAACAGATGTTCGAACACACTAAAAAAGTTTATTTTCAGAATGGTTTAGCCTCTTGATATAGAGCCAAAACGGTAACTAAAGCATAAAAGTATTGAAATAGATTTTTCAATAATTCATTACAAACACTTACAACCAAAAACAGTTTTATGGAATTGAGTCTCCCACGTTGCCAGGAAACAGTCCACATCTCAATACAGTTGAGAACTGCTGGCATTAATTGGGCGAAGGGATTAGAGAAAAGTGGTCAAAAATTCTATAAGAAATGGAAAAAATTATTGAAACTGTCCGGAATGAAGAAATTAATAAAAATTATCTACAACGGTTGTTTCAATCCAAGCCTAAGCGAATAGCCGAGGTTATTAGGAGAAGGGGGTGTTCTACAAAATATGTATTCCTTTTTAAATACAAAACATATAACTTGTAAAATATGTAAATAACTTTTTTAAAAATTGTATTATTGTTTATAACAAATTTTAGTTCTGTGGTTTGTTATGTGTATGTGCTTTTAGATTTTTCACTAAAACAAGTGTAAACTATAATTTTATTATATAAAAATGCTTTAAACATGAAGTGAATAAAAAGGCTTGACTTTCAAAAAAACTGCCTAGCTTAAGATATCATAAACCTAAGTTTTGCGCTATATATAGTCACTCTGTGAATTGGGTGGGTTTTCTTCGCTGAGTGTAGCTGCCATAAAAACTGAACGATCGGAATCAAGTTCTTCTAAGGAGCCTTTTGTATTTGTGAATGGTATTATAGCTTCGACGCAACCGAAGTTTACGTTTTTTCTTGTTTTGATTTAAGTTATTCGCTCAATGGATATTTGAACACTCAACGAGGACTTAAAGCCCGAAAAATAAACATGTTACCAGTTTTTATATTTTCCAGATTTACTCTAGCTATTTTAACATTGATATATATAATACATATATATATATATATATATATATTTTATGGTACTAATCCCAACATCGGGATTATAAATTAAATTTTCATTCAATATGTTCGGGATTAAAGTTGTAAATTTTATATTTTAATTTGAATATGTCAGTTTGCCGACCAGTGCTCTAGAGTTTTGAAGATGATGTGCTAGCTCCAGTTTTTGTTTTTCTTTGTTTTTTTTTTTAATTCTTAACTATATGCTTGGGATTCATTTTTTTCCAACCCGGATTGTGGGCTAAACTTTTTTTAAATTTGTTTTTTTTTTTTTAATTTTTCAATTAATTTTTAATGAATTGTTTGCAACACTAATACAGAGTCGTCAAATTTACTCTGTAAATACGAATTAAAAGTGTACGATCGGCTATTTTCTCACTCTATAACGACCTCAATTTTCGCATTGACATATTGTAAAACGATAAAATTACAGTAAGATGAATAGAGCAGAAAATTAAGTAAGAGTGTTTATTAACCCTACAAAAAACTGATGATGGGTTCACCAATACACTCACATTTGTTATGTCAGTACTGACAGTCAAATGAACAGTAAATTGACTGTAAGAAAAAAGAGACAGCATACATTTCCATATAAGTTTCGAGAAGTTGTAAAATACTTATGTAGCTGTTATTCCGTGCGATAAGCCAAAAGTGTTGTGTGCTCTTGTGCAATAACTCTTTTTGTGTTAAAGAAATAAATAAATTACGAAGGAGTTTTTAAATATAATATACGTAAGTTTCAAATAAAATTATATTTTTAGTTAATTTTAATTTTTATATAGGCATTTTAAATTCAGAAATATTTATGAACTGGAGAAACACGTATAGCAGAGCTTATGAGAGAAGCAAGCATAGAATTAAGTGAAAATTTCTTTTCATAATTTATTATTTAATTATATTTTTGTTGCACTCCCTTTTATATATACTATGTATATAATTATAACTAATTTTAATTAAAAGTTTTGAATTTATTGAAGAAATAAAAAATATATGATCTACTGAGCAAAAGAAATTTTCACTTGTGATAGATTTACAGCTGACAAATGGCAGCTATGATAGCTTTTCAGTCATAACTGACAATTTTCAGCAATGATGGTCTTATGGTCAGCAATGACTCAGAAAATGACATGAGAATGAGCAGTATATTTATAGTGTTCCAATGAAGTCCTCGTACAGCACCTAATAAAAAGTTTATTGATACAAGTGATATCAGCAACACTTTGCAAAATTTTAAAAAAATTTTTTATAACCATTTGTTTATGACAAATTTTGTTTTATATTAATTGAAAAATAAATATATTTCAGTAAATGGTTTCAAAATTATAAATACAGATTGGAAGAATTTCGCTATTTGGACTCCAATAAAGTCTTCGTACATTTCTATTCAAGTAAAATAAATAAAGAAATAGATCAAATTATGTATTTAGTGGGGTAGCCCTTGTTTTTAATGACGACATTAAGGCGGCGGCGGTTTTCATCCACTCCTCTTGAAGAACCTCTTTAAGGCGAGTTTTCAAACTAATATGATGAGTCCTGATCCGTTTCTATAGCAAGTTCCAAATATATTCAATTGGATTGAGATCAGGACTCTGTGGTGGTGCCTCCAGCAAAAGCGGAACATTGTACGCCAAGTACATCCTTGTATTATGAGCCATGTGTTTGGGGTCGTTGTCTTGCTGGAAATTAAATGCTTCAGACACGCCCAATTTTTCTACCCTAGGCTTCAGATTCTGTTTTAAAATTTCTATGTACGCACGGTTGTCCATAACTTCTTCTATTATTTCGAGGTTGCCAACGCCACTACAACCCCATACCATCACATTATCACCTCTGTGCTTTACTGTTGTAATAGTATTTACAGATCCAAAAATATTGTATTTAGATTCATTAGAGAATATAAAGTTCCGCCAAAATACAGGAGATGCATTTTGATACTTCTCAGCGAAGGCAATGCGTTTTCGACGGTTTACTATGTTTACGAGTGGTTTTCGACGAGGTGTGCGAGACTTAAGCCCAGCATTAATGATAGCTTTTCGCACAGTTTCGGAATTTATTTTTTTTGGCTGAATTGGTGAAGCTCTGTAGAGATTTTTTGAGCACTTATAAATGGATCTGCAGTAACCATTCGCTTAATTTTTAGCCGATCTTTATCCGCGAGAGCTGAAGGCCGTCCAGATTTGATTTTGTTTTCTACACGGCCTTCATATTTAAAACGGCCAATAACCGATTGTATTGTAGAACGACTACGGGACACTATCTTGGCTACTTCCGCGTATGACTTATTTTGCTTTACATGCGAATTGATGATAAGCTCACGTTCTTAAACTGACAAATATTTCACAGGCATACTTTTTTTAAATCACGAAAACTCTTTCAAAATTCACAACTTTTACTCTTCGAATGAATCACTGAAATATCCTGCTAAGCACACAAAGTACCGTTATAAGGAGGGTGGCCTATTATTATTTAGAAAGAAAAGTTGCCAGCAAAAGCGAAGTGTACGAAGACTTTATTGGAGTTGAAATAACAAAATTTTTCCAATTTATTTATATAGTTTCGAAACCATTTACCGAAATATATTTATTTTTCAATTAATATATATAAAATCATAAACAAATATTTTTTAAAAAAATTTTCAAAAGTGTTGCTGATTTTTATCAATAAACATTTTATTAGGTGCTGTACGAAGACTTTATTGGAACACTGTATATAGTGAATCAATTCCGAATACTCATGTGTGAAAGAGAGATAAAAACTTATATACATGCGTTTGTTTACATCA